TGTTACAGGCCTGTGCCTGTCATCAGATCACTGCACTGAGTGCATTCCCCAGTCCCAGGGCTTGGTTTTTCTATGCTTTTATATTGGTATAATTCCATCTGTTTATATTTTCTCTGGGTGTGACAGGCAAGAAAACATTCACAGAGCCATTGTCAAGGAGTTCTATGATCTTGACATTTGGATCTTTGGTCTATTTGGGGTTGATTTTTGTGTAAGATACATGTCCAATATCATTGTTTTCATGTTGAATTCCAGTTTTCCCAGAACTGTGTTCAAGAACCTGATCCTTCCCCATGGTGTCTGTGTGGTGCCCTTGTTGAACACTACTTGGTACTGAGTTTTTGAGGGTTACTTATAGATTCTCTGCACTGTTCCTCAAGTCCTTGTATCTGCTTTTGTATTAGTAAAATGCTATTTTTGCTTCTATTTGTTTTCTGATGTTGGGTATTGAACCCAGGGCAACCTTCATACTAAGTACATGCTCTACCTCTGAAATATACCCTCAACACTCATACTGTTTGCATTATGATAACATTGTAATATAATCTTAAATCAGATTAAATTCCTCTAACTTTGCTTTTCTCCTCAGAATCACTCTGGATATTTGGAGTCTTTCATAGTTTTATACAAGATTTTTTTCTATTTTTGCAAAGAACGCTATTGGGATTTTGCCAGGGCTTCCATGAACTCATTTATCTCTGTTCCTCCCTTCGGCCTGTTCATGGGTTCACTTGCATGCCTCTTCCTCCTGAAGCTTGAGATGGCAAATGCAGTTTCAGAGGAGACATCCCCACATGACAAATACTCAGCTGTTCAATTGGTCACCTGCAGCCCTGCTGTGCTACCTGTCTTAGGTTGTCATGTGGAAAACAGGGGTGCCCTGGGGGACACAGAGAATGATTCCCTGCTTGGTATCACAGTGCCTTCTGACATACTTTATCCCCACTGCCTATGTCCTCACTGACTTCCTACCATGCTGTAACAGGCAAAGACCCTTAACCTTCCTGTATGTACTGAGCTACAGTGCCTGTGACACTGCTTAAGTGTGCTGTTTCTTTCAGTCCTGTCCCTGCAGTAGAGGCTGAGACTACTCTGTGAATGATGTCGTTGGGCCTCTGAAGATTCCAGCAGCTTCCAGACCTAGGGGATCCAGAGTAGACAGGAGCCCTGACATCACAGGCACCCAAACCGAGACATTTATAAGTCATAGGACTGAATAACACTGGAATTTGGTTGCAGCTTGATTGACAGATGGGTTGGTGGTTGGACTCAGGAGATTCAAGCACAGGGAAGAAGAAAGCATGGAGCAACCTGTGAATATGTCTGTGACCTGAGTTCTGTACTAGAGGAAGCAAAGTTATTAGGAAATGGGAGCCCTGGTGAGGGAAAGCGTGAGGGTGATGACTGAGAGGTGGGTGCCATGAATTAATAAACTACTGCCAATTCAGATTGAAGGAAAGGCCAGAAAAGTCAGGATGGTTAGGTGCAAAATTTATATTTTTGAATAGTCAAACTTTTGGACTGAGGACATAACTCAGAGAGAGACTGCTTCCTGGGTTACCTCCAGCACCACAAAACAAACAACCTAAAAATGTGGCATGTGTGAAACCCCATCATGTATGAGGGTTGTTTTTCCTGGTTCAGTCAATCCATGAATGGCTGACATCTTGATTTTCCTGCTGGGGAAACTAAGATCTGAGATGTTCTGTGGCCTGTTTGCAAGTAGAAGAGGGAGTTGGAACTATTGTCTGTGTGACTCAGTGCAGTCTTCTTGCCATTATAGCCGTGAGAGCTGAGATTACATCATGTGGGTGTCCGGCACTACAGTGCCAGCATTGTGGTAGCTCACCCTAAACCTTACCTGAGTAGACTGTAGTTGGAAAACCAACAAGAGTGTTCTATTTTATTTATTTTAAATAATTTGTTTTTAAGGTATGGGTGTTCTATCTGCATGTACACCTGCAGGCCTGAAGATGGCATCAGATCCCATTCTAGATGGTTGTGGACTTGAACTAAGAACCTCTGGAAGAACAGTCAGTGCTCTTAACTGGTGATTTATCTCACCAGCTCTAAGCACTTATTTATTTATTTATTTATTTATTTATTTTTTTAGACAAGGTCTCACTATGTAACTCCGACTGTCCTAGAACTCACTATGTAAACCAGGCTGTCCTGGAATACATATAGATCCACCTGCCTCTGCCCTAAAAGTACTAGGATTAAAAGCACGTGCCATCACACCTGGCTTTGTTAATTTGCTTTTAAAAAAAGATGGAGAGATGGCTCAGTGCTTAAAGGCATATATTGTTCCAGGGGACCCAAGTTCAGTTTCTAACACCCACATGGGTGGTTCACAACTGCCTGTGGACTCTGTGGGCACCTGCATTCACATGTACATATACACACAAGACACATACACAATCACACATATAATAGACAATTAAAAATAAGAAAAGAGGCTGGAAAGAATTCAGTAAGTGGAGCATGAAGACCCGAGTTGTCTCCTCAGAACTCACATGAAAATACCAGGCAAGGTGGCAAGCTTATAATCCCAGTGCTGTGGAGGGATCGGCAGGAGGATGTCTGGAGCTTTGGTTTAGCCTAATTGGCAAGCTCCAGACTATCTGACCTCTACTGACCAGTGCACATACCCATAACCCATATACCCATAAACACATGCACTCACATAAACACACACCTGCCTACCCTGTACACACCAAATAAAAATAAAAGTAACATGAGATTTAAGAAGAGTGGAGTAACATTGAAGAGCCGGAAATGAGACCTTTCCTTCTACTATTGCCTCTATTCTGAGTCACTCTATCTCCAAAGCTATAGCTCCTGGTGTTTTGGTGCTAACCCTCTGTGGTGGTATTTAACTCACCAGAAAGTGGGGAGGTTGAAAATGGTCTCAGGAGGAAGAGTTGAAAGAACTGGAGAGGTTTCACCAGCTGAAGAGAGGATGCTGAGGGCACAGGTGTGCTGTCCTCTAAGCAGCTTCCAGGCCTGGGGGGATGCAGAGCAGAAATGTACCCTGATACAGATGGACCCACAGCAGGGGCACTGATGGAGAAGCAGAGGTTAGCTTAGTGAGAGGACAAATCATCCTAAGGCAGTACCTCCCATGCATACATCCCCATAGACAGGGCTGTGAAATACTGACAAGGGGTTGAAATTTTAGTGGAGTGATCAGGAAGTCTGTGCAGAGGTGTTTTTTCCCCTCATAACATCACTGTGGAAAGGGCATCCTGGAAGAGAGAAACAGCATACACCAAGAATGTGAGGTTCCAGGGAGGCCAGAGTGATGGAACTGAGGGAGGATGCAGTGAAAACTGACAGGGGCCAGCCTTGTCTGGCGAGTGGGGGAAAACAGATATTTTGACTTGTTTGTTTAACAAAACTATTTATTTGCTCTCTCTCTCTTTCTCTCTCTGTGTTGTATGTCACAGTGCAAGGGTAGAAGTATATAGGGCAGATGACGATTCTCTCTCTAGAGACAGTTCTCCCCTACCTGGTGGGATCAAGGAATCAAAACTTAGGTCATTGGACCTATTAACAAGCATCTGGGCCCACCTAGCCATCTTACCAGTCTTGTTTTAATTTATTTTGTGTTTGTTAGTTAGTTAGTTAGTTTTTGCCCAAGCTGGCCTGGAACTCATTGTGGTTCACTGTCTTAGTCAGGGTTCTGTTGCTGTGAAGAGATACTATGACCACAGCAATTCTTATAAAAGAAAACGTATTATTGGGGCTGGCTTACAGTTCAGAGGTTTAGTCCATTATTGCTGTTGTGGGAAGCATGGTGGCACACAGGCAGACATGGTGCTGGAAAAGGAGCCAAGAGTTTGCATCTGGATCAGCAGGCAGCTGGCCTGGCTTGAGCTTCTGAAACCTCAAAGCCCACTCTCCAGTGACACACTTCCTCCAAGGCCACCCCTACTCCATCAAGGCTACACCTAAGACTTCTACTCCCTATGGGCCCATGGAGGCCATTTTTATTTAAACCATCATATCCACCCATGCTGACCTTGAACTTGGAGTGATCCCCTTGTCTCAGCCTCCTGAATGATAGGATTGCAGGTGTAAGCCACCATGCTAAGAGCAGTCTCCAGTTCCTTTTGTAAGCACTAGTTAGCAATCCCTGTCTATGAGCCTGACACAGTGACATATGCTTCTAATTCTAGCACACATTTAGGGGCAAGGGCAAGAGGATCAGGAGTTCAAAGTAATCCTTTCATACATAGGGAGTTCAAGGCCAGAGTGGGCAATGTAGGACCCTGTCTCAAAAAACTTAAAAGAAGAAAAAAGAAATTCTGTCTTCATATCAGGGAAGATCAAGTAAGATGGGACTATGCTCCCAAAACTATAAGGTCTTGATCAAATGAAAAGTAACTTAAGATTTTTGCGGATTTTTAAAGAGAGACATGTGTCTTGAAGGAAAGATCCTCTTATCTCAGCCTTCCAAGTATTCAGATATGTGTCAATTTATCTATCTTGCTTTATGGGTTACCATAAATGAGGCAGGACAGTTGCCAGAAGAGAGTGGGAGAGTGCCATCTGCCTCCTCTAGTGGCAAAAGACAGATCTCTCATAGAGTCAGAGGGTATCAAGAGACTGTTTCTTGCTTTTAAAAAATTATTTATTTATTTTTTTGAGGCAAGCCCAGACTCACTATGTGGCCAAATATGATTTTGAACTTTTTTTTTTAAGGCAGGGTTTCTTTGTCTAGCCTTGGCTGCCCTAGATCTAACTCTGTAGACCAGGCTGGCCTCAACCTCAGAGATCTGCCTGCCTCACGAGTCCTGGGATTAAAGATGTGTGCCACCTCTGCCTGGCCTGATTTTGAACTTCTGATCTGCCTGTATCCACCTCTCAGGTGCTGGGCTTACAGGCATATGGTGCCATTTCTAGTTTTATCACTGGGATAGAGAGTAGGACACTGTGAGTGCTGAGCACTCTACTGTTTAAACTGCATCCTATTCTGTTTCTTGCTTTTCATTCAGGAATTCCATCATCCAAAGTTAAATCTTCTTCATCGGGAGAACTTCATCTGGAATCTGAAAAATGTCCCTCTTCTAGAGAAGTATATAGGTGCCCTGAGCCAGAATCGAAACCGGGAGATTGTTGAACAGGTCATTCAGCTGTTCAAGGAAGAAGTAATGACCAAACTAAGTCATTTTCGAGAATGTGAGTATTTCCCCAACCAAAGTATGTACTTTTCTCACCCTTTAAATTGGCAAATTTCATATTGTCAGGGAAATATGAAGGTAATACTTAGATTAATCATACCATAAGATGTTTTTGTTCCTTTTATTTTTACAAGAATAGTATCTTCACTATTCTTTTTTTTTTTTTGAAAGATTTATTTATTTATTATGTATACAGTGTTCTGTCTGCATGTACCCCTACATGACAGAAGAGGGCACCAAATCTCAATATAGTTGGTTGTGAGCCACCATGTAGTTGCTGGAAATTGAACTCAGAACCTCTGGAAGAGCACCCAAGTGCTCTTAACTTCTCAGCCATCTCTCCAGCCCAACTTTACTATTCTTAAAATTGCTCTATTTGAAGTTTGTTGTTGTTTGGCCTGTGTAGTTTCACAGAAACCCTCCTGTATCAATCTTACATAAACTTGACCAAATAATGCCAGTTTCCAAAAGAGGTTGTATGAATTCACGCTGCTATGTCAGGGTGTAGACATCCTTATTGCACTACCATTTTAACTTTTGACACATATTTTTCTATCTTATTTTCATATTCTAGTTTCTTATTGTCATTTTAAAATACATTTCTCCATTTAGCTGGCCATTGTGACGTGCTATTCAAGTCTTTTGCCTATTTTTCTTAGTATTTTTTGTCTCATTGATTGAGGAAAGTTCTAAACATGCTCCAGATGAATCCTTTGTAATTAATAGTTATATGTGTATAGATGTTTCTCCCATTCTGTGGCCAATTTTAATGGTTTCAAATATTTTAATCTTACATATGGTCAGTAACATATTTTATCATCCTATATTTTGTATTCTTTTGCTTTTTACATTATTTCTATAATCCACATGGGGTTTTACATACAATATGTTTTGCAATACCACTGCTGTTATGAACCAAATGTGATTTGAATTATTTTATTCTTCTGGTCTAGTTGTCTATCTCTATACCTATACAACAAATATCAGTTTAGATTATGTCTCTGCTCCATTCTTCCTGATGCCCTTCCCCCCTGCAACTAGTTCACCTTCTGCTTCCATGAAACATGAATTCCATTACCTTCTCTTTCCCCAGATGCTTTTCTTAAGGTCTCTTCTTCCCTCTCTTGGGCTTTCTTCTACATTCATGCCCTGCAACAAATACATACACACACAAATTAAATCTAGAGTCTACATATAAGACATGCCACATTGTCTTTTTGAGTATTGTTTATTTCATTTTAACATAACAATCTCCAGTGCATCCATTTCCTAGCAAATACCATGATTACATTTTTTTACATATGGGCAAATAAAATTCCATTATGCATGTGTACCATGTTTTCTTTATCCATTTATCTGTTAATGGATATCTAGGGTGGTCTCATTTCCTAGCTATTTGAATAGTTCAGCAATAGACATGGAGTGTACCCTTGTGTACACTGGTTTTGAAGTTTCTTACTTTGAAGCAACAATCATTTATATTCACATGTCAATAAACAAGAAAGATCACAAGCTACAATACCTTTTTTTTTTTTAAGTATAGTCCAGCATATTCTTAGATAGGAGAATTTGTGAATGCCCCAAATATTACTATACAATATTAATTTCTTGAACTTAGTTTTTGAATAGAAGAGAACTTATCTTCCATCTTGCTCTTTTATATAAGAATCTTAACTGCCAAAGGTGGAGGCAGAGGCAGGTGGATCTCTGAGTCCGGAGACAACCTGGTCTACAGAGTGAGTTCCAGGACTGCCAGGGCTACATAGAGAAACCCTATCTCAAAAAACAAAACAGAACAAGATATTGACTATTTTTCCCTTTGTATTTCCACATCAGTTTTAGGATCAGCAAGACATAGGTTTAAAAAAAGTCTGTTGATACTTTGGATTTCAATTGGTTTGTAGTTAAATTTGAAGGGAATGGTTATTACAGTATGTTTCTAAAACTAGTCTAATCTGTGAATAAAGTCAATGTCTCCATTTACATATACCCATAAGAGATCTTTATCCCTAAGATGTAGATAGATAAGTAACATAGACATTGGGTTTTATAAATGTCCCTAACGAGGAATTACATGATAAACATTTTTTAAATTGTATTGTTTATTTTGGGATGCACAAGCTGTAGCACATATGTGGAGGTCAGAGGACAACTTAAAGGGTTTTTTTTCTCTCTCTCTCTCCTTCTTTCCTACTTTGTGGGCCCCTGGGTTGAACTCAGAGCTTGTCAGACATGGCACCAAGCATCTTTACCCATTGAGCCAGCTCACTGGCCCTGTGTATATATTTTGACAATGCCACGGATCAATTGCACATGCTGGACAAATACTCTACCACTCCTGTACTCAAGCCTACGATACTATACTCTTTTCTTCATTTAATATGTTTGATTTAAAAATACTAATATTGTATTTCAGGTTCCACTTTTTGTTTGTTGCTGATATTTCAAAGTGATACTTTATTGCATCCATGAAGGGGGGCTCCTCAGGTGTAGGGCAGGGAAATGAGCCAAGATAGGTGAGGATGAAAACTCAGTTCAAAGCCGGGTGGTGGCGGCGGCCCACACCTGTAATCCCAGCACTTACAAGGCAGAGACGCGTGAATCTCTGTGAGTTCAAGGTCAGCCTGATCTACAGGGCGAGTTCCAGGACTGGTTCCAAAGCTACAGAGAAACCCTGTCTCAAAAAAAACAAAAACCAAAAAACAAAAAGGAAAAGAAAGAAAACTCGGTTTAGATTGACTTTGTCAACCTAGATAAAACCTAAGAGAGTCTGATGCCAGGCAGTTTATAGTCAGATAGTCAGTATATTTAAACACAGTATAATTTGGAAAAAATGTCCTGGTGTAATACTATCTCGGGTGACAAGGAAGCGTAATTACATCAAAACTCAACTCAGGGTTGAAGATGGGATCTAGAGATGGGCTACCTGTACTAGCTTAAGGGCCTAAGGAAGGCTCTGGTCTGGTCTCAGTCTTACAGATAGCACAGAAATCATTTGGGCTATTAGCCAGCCACCTCTGGTGCAGGTTGTGGGAGCCTGCGGGAGCCTCTGGCTATAGAGATAATGTAATGACTAAATAATGTAATATGTTAGCTATCTCTGGTCCTGGTTGTAGCTCAGTATTGCAGTGGTGGGCTGGCTGTAAGGCTCATTTAGAATACTAGCCACCTCCAGTTCTGGTTGTAGGAGTTTGATATGACCTGGCCCAATAGATAACACAGATCACCTGGCCTGGCCCAATAGATAACACAGATCACCTGGCTATTAAACACTTCTAATAACTAGCTTTCTGGATGAAAGAACAGATTTTATATCTTTCCCATTGGAAAAACAATCGTGCATACTTTACATTCCTGGTTTCCCTGGAGATCTATGGGCATAAGGGTCTTCATGCTATGCTCCCAACACATTCATACATTTTATTTTACACTTTGTATTTGTGTGTGTGTGTGTGTGTGTGTGTGTGTGTGTGTGAAAGCCACATTCAGGTACCTATGGAGGTGATAAGAGGGTATTAGATTCCCCTGTAGATAGAGTACCCATGTGGGTGCTGGGAACTGGACTCAGGTCCTGTGGAAGAGCAGGAAGTGCTTTGTAACCACTGAGCTCTCTCTCAAGTGCTCAAATTCAAATACATCAATTAAGTAATTTATCTCAAAATGCTTCAGAACTTATATGTGGACAACAAAATCATCTGAAATGTTCTATAAAGGAAGAAAAAATTCTTTTCTCAAGTACAGTCTTTCCATATAGACCAGCCTGGCCTTGAACCCACATTCCTCTTGGTTCAGCCTGCCAAACTCAGGTTACGAGTATGTAAAACCAGGCCAGGTGAGGCAGTCCTTGTATTTGTTTTATCTCACCAAGGAAACTCTTTCAGTGTTCAATTAAGGATTTATTGTGATTTGTACACATGTGCATTATGGTTTTGGACATGCATGTGCTGGAGTATATTAAGTGGAAGCCATAGGACAACTTTTCAGAGTGATCTTTCCTTGGGGATGGAACTCAGGATATCAGGATTGCACAGCAAGCACTTTTACCTAGTAAGCCTTCTTGCCAACCCTCAGTATTTAACTATTGACTGTGATAGCCAGGCATGAGGTGAACACCTTTAATCCCAGCACTCGGGAGGCAGAGGTAGGGGGACTACTGTGAGTTTGACACCAGCCTGGTCTACAAACAAGTTCCAGGACAGCCAGGGCTACATAGAGAGACTGTCTCAAAACCCTATTAGTTGGGATGTGGCTTTAGCTTGTTGTTGTTAACATCTTTTACATGGTTAAGGAAGCTTTTCTGTATTCCTTGTTTATTTCTCCTTACATCTGTAGGTGTGTCAAATTATTTTAGTTGTATCTAACATTAAATCAATATTGCATTCCTAATTTAAACCCAATATGGTCATTGTATTGTTTCCATTTCTCTTTTTATTATATATTATCTTTTCAGTTTGCTAATGTTTTATTATAACTTACATCTACATTCCTAAGAAACATCTCCTTACAGTTTTTCCCTTTATAATATCCTTGTATAGGTTTAGACTTATAAAATTATTTATATAAGGGAGTTTTTCTATCTCCGTGATTATAAGATTAGAGTAGGGCTGGCAAGATGGCTCAGCTATTAAGAGCACTTGCAGCTCTACCAGAGGACTGGAGTTCAGTTCTTAGCACCCATGTTAGGTGGCTCATAATACCTTGTTACTCAAGCTCCAGGAGATCCAACGACCTCTTCTGACCTGTGCACTCACTCACCTACACATATGTGCCATACACACTCTCAAATACAAATTTACTATATATATATATACTATATATATACATATATATATGAAATAAGACAACATTTTCTTTTTGTACTACTTAAAGTAATTTTCTACTTGGTCAATTTAGTACCGTATCTTTCTTTAGGGAAGTATTAAAATTAGCAGACTGAGTATGATGGCACCCACCTGTAATCCCAGCACTTGGGAGATGAAGACACAAAGATATGGAATTTGGGCTTATCTTCAGCTACGTATCTAGTTCAAGACCAGCTTAGCTATGTGAGCCCCTGTCTCAAACAAAAAACCCCAGAAATTATTAAAATTAGCAAGTTGATTCCTTTAGTTTATATAGGACCATTTAGATTTTTGCCATATTTAATGAGTTGTATTTTTATAGAAATTTACCTAATTCATCTAAAATTTTGTATTTGTAACTATAAGCCTTTAACACCTTTTAAAATTGTATTTATCATTTATTACTGCACTGCCTGCTTTTTTGTGAGATTTTACTTTTACTTTCTATGTATGAGTGTTTTGCTTCCATGTATGTCTGTGTACTTCATGCCTGCAGTACCCAAGGAAACCAGAAGAGGATCGTTGATCCTCTGGAACTGGAGCCACCATGTGGGTGCTGGGAATGGAACCTGGAATCATGGGAAGAGCAGCTGGTGTCCTTGACCCCTGAGCCATTTTCCAGCCTTCTTACTTCTTTTCTGATACCAATCAGGTCTTTAGTGACATCTGTCCTTTTGTTCTGAATGCAGATTACTAGCCCCTTTCCTTGATTTTCCCAGTGGCTCTTACCACAGACCCATCCTTTGGGGAGGGGCATTTTCAATTTTCCAGGCCCTCTTTATTGCATCTTAAATTACTCATATTATTAGCTGTTTTTTTTTTTTTCCCCTAAATGTTTCCTGTTTGCCTTAAAAAAAAGAAACTTCTTGAAAGAGGTGCTTAACTCATGGTATTTTGTGTTCTTTTTCTTTGCCCTTACTTGGACTACAGACACAAAATTAAATATAAGTCTTGATTTGTGATGGCTTGTACCTATTTTTATTTCAAACATGGACACTGTTTTCCTTAGCTTTTCTTCCTCCTCCTGTGTGTGTGTGTGTGTGTGTGTGTGTGTGTGTGTGTGTGTGTGTGTGTGTGTGTGAAGAAAGAGTCTTGCTATATAACCTTGGCTGGAATTCATTATGTAGACCATAAAGGCCTCAAGCTCACAGAGACCATCTACCTCTGCCCCCCAGTGCTCCACCATGCACAGTTCTTTCTTTCTGATATTCAGATTTAAAGTTTGTTTGGGGAAAGATCTATTTGGCTTAAGAATTTATAAAAATCTATTCCAACTAGGGATAGTGGGGCATGACACAATCCCAGCCCTTGGAAGGCTCAGACAGGAAGAGAGATAGGGAATTTGAGGCCAGCCTGGGATACATGGCAAGAGCATGCTTCAAAAACCAAAGCAAAATTTATTCTGTTTTGAGATATTTGTTATTTATCAAAGAATATTTTGTTAGTTTTTAGATTGAAGATAATATATCCCATTATTCTTTTTACAGCTTAATTAGGATATAATTCACAGAAGACGCAATGTATCCATGTACTTTTACAACTCTATGGTTTTATATGTCCATTGGGTTGTGCAGGCATTATCTAATTTCAGAACACTTTATTTCCGCAGTGAGGAACCCTGTGCCCTGTAGCAGTCAGTTCTATCGCTTTTAAATTAGAAAATGTGGGAGTCCGTTTTTGTTTGCTCATTTTCTGTCCAAGCAGGGAGGTGATATTAGATTACTCCTCCTGCTTTGTCTCTTACTGTTTCTGTTTGTTTTGTGCTGCTACCATTATGTGCTCTCCATTATTGCTGAACCCCCTTTCCTCAGTTAGCCTGGATGTCTTAGCCAGCTACCATTTGAAGCACTGGTTTTGGAAATATAGCTGTGTACAGCTATAAGAGAAACTGTGCACACTAAGTTCTAATAAATGTTTTCATTTACTTTTAGATATTCTGTAACTCATTTTAGAATATGTTCTTTTCATCATATTTAGAGAGATAAATTATTTCCTCTGTAATATGAGGGATTATTTAGTTATCACTTCACTGCTGAGTTCTACTGTAATTGTATTTTGGTTAAGAAACACATGTTAGCTAGGCATGGTGGCATACACCTTTAATCTGAGCACTTGGGAGGTGAAGGCAGGAGAATCTATGTGAGTTTGAAGCCAGCCTGATCAACATAGGGAATTCTAGGACAGCAAGGACTACATGGAGAGATCCTGTTACAAACAAACAAACAAAATGAAACATACTCTTTATCACTGTTGTCCAATAGGAGTTCATAAAGTAAATATTGTGTATCTGTATTTTCTAGTGAAACAGTCATCATGTAGCTAGTGAATACTTGAAATATGGCTTGTGCAACAAAGGAACTGAGCCATTCCATGTTATATAATCTTTTTAAAAAATTATCTATTTGGTTTTATTTCATGTGAATTGGATATATATATATATATATATATATATATATATATATATATATATATATTCTATATGAGAGTATTAGATCTCCTGAAACTGGAGTCTCAGTTATGAGCTGCCATGTGGGTGCTAGGAAGTGAACCCAGGTCCTCTGGAAGAGCAGTCAGTACTCTTAACTGCTGAGCCATCTCTCTAGCCTCAAATCTTAATGAACTGAAATGGCCACCTGTGGTTAATGGCTATGAGTTTGAACAGGACAGGTCTATATGCCTGCAGTCATTGACATTTATTTTATAATACTCGAATCTTTATGGTGTGATGTTTGTTACATTTTTGTAAAAAATTCATGTTTTATTAAAGTGAAAACATATGTGTCATTTTGGGGTGTATGCCCATTAGGTCAAGTTTGTCAAACATGTTGAAATTTTTCCATATCTCTTAGTGATCATTTTGTCTGTTCTAACAACAACTGAGTAAAACATACTTTAATATCCTTCTGTGATGTGGAATTTCTGTTTTTCCTTGTATTTCTAATTTTGATATATAAATATATATATATGTGTATATATATTTTTAATTAATTTTATGCTACATTTCTATTAAAAAATGTATAATTTAAAATGTATGGTTGACAATAATGTTCATTAGTATCATTCACTGTGGTACAAGTTAACTGAGCATAATTTAGACAAACCTAATCATATAGAAGTTAAGCTGAGCATGGTGGCTCACACCTCTATTTCCTGCACACAGAAGACTAAGACAGATAGATTGTCGTGAGATATAGGTCAGTCTGTGCTTCAGAGTCAGATCCTGACTCAAGAATGAACTTGTAAGTTACATGTTCTATGTCACCTAGTTATTATAAGGTATGTGACTCCCGGAGGTTTGTTGCTTGTGAACAAACTAATAGTGTCTGAATTCTAAACAGTAGCTTAAATCAGTATTTTTCAAATTGTCCATGAAAAAGACAAGTTTGGGGGTTTCTTTTCTCCCAACATATTACAATTCAATGTATGCTTCTACTGGGCATGCTTGGGTCATAGCTTGTACCACAAGCAGCTAACAACACTAGACATAACTCCAATTGGACTATACTCTGACCAACCAGGCAAGGCCATGTACTATTCTCTTGGATGTCTAATTGCTATAACATTTTCTAAACACTTTCAGTTTCTGGTTTACTTTTGGTTTTGAGACAGAGTCTCTCTCTCTCTCTCTCTCTCTCTCTCTCTCTTTGTGTGTGTGTGTGTGTGTGTGTGTGTGTGTGTGTGTGTGTGTGTCCCCAGCCCTGGATTGCCTGGAACTCTCTATGTAGATCTATGTAGACACCAGGCTGATCTTGAACTCACAGAGATTTGTCTTTCTCTGCCTCCTGAATCTGGGATAAAAGGTGTGCGCCATCACACCAGGCCTATCAGAACTTGTGAGGCTTAGCTATAAATAAAGGTACATGCGTTCCATGTAAGCCTCTGCTTCCTATAATGATATGAATGTGACTCTGTTCTTTTTGCATGTCCCTGGCTTTGAGTGTTTGGGTGTTTGTGAGTACTACAGTCCCCACCTTACCCTCTGCACTGGTGAGAAGCAAGAGCAAAGGAGCCAAAACTCCGCCAGTGTCCTCTCAAGGGAAAATGACTTTCAGAAAACAGTTTCTTATTTTATCTCTTATTTTTGCTCATCAGATTATTTAGATGGCTTTGCTTTAGACAGAAAGAGAATGAGTTGCTAATTTTAAATATCTTTTTAACATGATTTTTCTAATTTCAGGTATCAATCATGGTGATCTTAACGACCATAACATCTTAGTAGACTGCAGCAAGTCATCCTCTGGAGATGCTGTGTATCAGGTCTCTGGGATTTTAGACTTTGGTGACATGAGCTATGGCTATTATGTGTTTGAAGTGGCAATCACCATCATGTATATGATGATTGAAAACACGGATCCTATACAAGTAGGAGGTCACATCCTTGCAGGGTTTGAGAGTGTGATCCCTCTGACTGCTGTAGAAAGAAGCGCTTTGTTCTTGCTTGTATGCAGTCGCTTTAGTCAGTCGCTTGTCATGGCTGCATACACCTGCCAGCTGTACCCAGGCAACAAAGAGTACCTAATGATTACAGCAAAGACTGGATGGAAGCATTTACAGCAACTGTTTGACATGGGCCAGAAAGCTGTAGAAGAAATCTGGTTTGAAACTGCCAAATCCTATGAGTCTGCGATCTCTATGTGACCAGAGAAAAGTTTGTATTTCCTTGGCAATCAAAACTCAGTTAGGCTCAGATCAAATTCATGAAGAACTTTCCTGCAGGATTAAAAAATGATATGGTAAAACAGATCCGTTCTAAATATGAAGGGGCAAAGACAGGTCTAGTTTTTACAGCAACCTTTGGACTGTATTTTACACTTAAGAAAGTGCTACATTAAGAACACTTTCCTAGAGTGCAAAGCCCTGGGCTCAACCTCAGCACTACAGAAAGGAAAAACACATGTACAAGGAAGCATGTCTTTTTGCAGGTCTTGTTTGTCTTTTATATGAACCATACTTGATGATATATGACTTGTAATCAGTCTTAAAGGCTATTCTAGTCCTTAAATCAATGTTTAAACTGTGAAAAGAATACATATGTATAACTATATTCACATGTTTTAAACAATCCACATGTTTTAACCACAACACTAATTCTGTGTACTCTTCTCTCATCTTACCTCTCTAGACACTGTTGCATTTTGTCTTTTTCATATCATGTCACTGTCTTACCTGCTTCTGGTTGTGCAGTTATCTAGCCTGTAAATCTGACCATGGCAGAGACTATGAGAATGTGTGTCTCTTGCACCTGTGATAGTGCCTTTCCCACAGAAAAGTCTAGGGGGAAACACTCGTAGGAGTCATTAGAAAGCATTTAAGAACATTGAGAGAGTAGATCACCTGGAACTCCAGAGACAGACATTGGATAGCAGTGGAACTACATGGAAGAAGGCCATTAACCCTGATATCAGCAAGGTTCCTCAGCAGAGGGGCTCACCATACTGCCGAGGCTTGTCTTCAACTTGTTGGTTCCCACAGCCATCCTGTTCAGCCTCCCAGTGCCGGGGCCATAGCCCTATACCAGATGTTCTTCATTCTCTATACCTGATTGCCTTTTTATAGGAATCTGTGAAGTTAGTGAAATGAAGCCCATTGCATATTTATCTTAAGTTTTACCTCAGTATTTCCTTTACTGATTTCTTTAATGTAAGTAGCTTTTTACTTATCCTTGTAGTGTGGACTTCTTCTTCTTCTTTTCTTCTTGTTTTGAGACTGGATTCCACTGTGTTGTTTTCAGCCAAACTCCTAGGCTCAAGTAATAATCGTGCATCAAGCAACCAAGTAGCTGGAACTGTAGGCATGCACATCACACACTTTCTACAGATAGTTCAGGGTTAGGACCCTGGTCATTCACTCACCTTGTCAGTACTCTACGTGAGTAGGCTCTGATACCATAACTGCTTCTCTGACTGCCTGTCTACCTGCTTAGCTACCTGCCTAAATTTCCCAAACTAGGCATTTCTCTGAGTTTACCTGTAGAATTCATTTTTAGCTTCTCTGTGTCTCAATTTCCTTTCTGTAAAGTCAGGATTAATGGTTTTACCTATCCCAGAGAGTCATTTGTGAGGGTTTTGTAAGAGAACATGGCAACCTCTTAGCATAGACTCTGGCACATAGTAGAGGCACAATAAATTGTTACTAAATAATGAGTCATATTCCAGGTTACCCAAGCTCAAAAATAATAGTGTAACATGCAGCTTGCCTTTCTTACATTCAGTCATTGAGCCCTGATACTTTAACAAATCAGGATTTTAGGGCAACAATCTGGAGCAGCCCTGTCTTTCCTGCTTCATTAATTTTTTTAGTAGTATATACTATGACCCAATATTTATTGAACATTATTTAATCCAGAACAGACTCATATAGATATTTTGATTATTAATCTCCATTTTTAGATAAAGAAATAGAGCATTAGCACATGCCATTAATTCCACCACTTGGGATGCAGAGGCAGACATGACTCAGTGAGTTTGAGGCCAGCCTGGTCTATAAAACAAGTTACAGGACAGCCAGGGCTGTTACACAGGGAAATCCTGTCTTGAGTAATAATAATAATAATAATAATAATAATAATAATAATAATAATATTTTAAATTTTTTTTAAAAGGAAGGAAGAAATAGAGCCTTTAAAAGCTGAATTAATAATAGACTCAGAAGAAAGCTTGAACTTAGATCTTAAATTAGGTCTTTGGGCTATGATCCCTGCTCCCAATCACTATAAAACCCCATATTATTTCTTCTGCCTTTCTTTTCCTTTTCTTACACACACACACACACACACACACACACTCACACACTCACTCACCAAATGAGATCATTCAGATGTGAAACACTTAAGATTCTCACATTGAAGGTTTTTGTTTAACTTGGCTAATCAGGAAACTAGGGACCAGAAAAATAGACTGAAACTTCAGTTTCTGCTTCAGACCAGAGTTCCTCCTGTTAATTAGTGGAACCCTTCAGGCTTCTCTCTTGATTGTTCTTGCTAACATGGATTCTCTTCACTAAATCCCTAAAGCAAAAATTGCTGATTTATGTTATGGCATTAAATATATACTATATTGTATGGACATTTTACTATTTGTTTTTTGTTGTTTTTCTCATTTTTGAGACAGCCTCCCTATGTAACCTTGGCTGGCTTGGAATTCACAAGGCAAACCAGCTTGGCCCTGAATTTGCAAGAACACTCCCTCCTCTGCCTTCTGAGTAATGGCCAGGCCCGGCCTACAAGTCACTCATTTCTAAGCTTCCCGCTTTAAAAAGTCCTAATCATTTTGCACCCTACACAGAAGACAAAGGCCCTGTCCAGTGGGCTGAGATGACTACAATATTAAACCAGGCATAGTCAACTCACTAGTTCTTCAAACCCCAACACAGACACAGAAATCAGGTAAGATAAGAAAAGTAGAGATGGATGAAGAGGAATTCTCATAATTAAAGAACTGGATTTGAGAAAGTGAAAAATAAGGCTAAAGGGAAGGATGAAGGAAAAGCTGTTAAGCGATTTGGTTCTGTCTACAGTTGCTAGTCTGGGCTTCGTTAGAATGGTACAGAAGAGAAAGTGAAAGTGGAACGCAATGTGTACAAGGAATCTGTTCCACTTTGCTGCAGAACAGGATCTTCCCTCCAATTCCACCTCTTCTGTTACTGACCCTAGCCTAAACCGAGGTTGTGCTTCTCCACTGTCCACGTGGGTAGATGGTCTCCGCCCCCGACCAGGAGGATTTCCGCGTCCTCACTGCCCCGCCCCCTGGCAGTTCTGCGCACGCTCGGGAGCCATATTTGTCGCGGGTGCTGGGCCATCCGGGTTGGTTCTTCTCCAGCTGAGTAAAGCGGCGCTGATCTGCACCCCTCACTGTCTTCCTCCGGTGAGGCTCAGTCCCCGAGGCCCCGCGGAAGCGAGGTCGCTGTCTCCTGGGCGGGGACCGTCTGCGTGGAGACCACGGCCCAGGCCCGCAGCCGCCGCCGAGGAGCCGTGGGTACGATGACTTTGCACCCACCCGCCTCCTCGGTGGCCGGCCTGCCGGGGACTGGACCCCGCCGGCCGCCGTCGGGCACGCCGGCGCGGCCTGGACGGCGGGCCCGGGCTCTGGGACCCACCGGGTCGATGCGAGGGGTGGGGGCGGCTTGCGGCCCTGCGAGTCCTTTTGGAAAAGTGGAGCTGCGGGGAAAGTCCAAAGCTTGTGGCGCCGGCGTCAGGCGTGGTGGTAGCTGTGCGAAACCCGCCTGGCAGCTCTGCTCACCGCCACCTTTCTGTTTCTCCTATGTGTTGGAATCGACTCCCTGCAGGTTAGCTTGCCCTCAGCCTCTCTTCGACCAGTCGACTTTAAAATGTCAATCAATCAGTTCTTACAGTCCTTGCGTCCAGTCATTCCATGGAGCCGTCATGAATAAGAGATAAAGTTCACTCTTCACTTGAGCATGCATACCCTTCATTTGTCTGTTTAGCTTTCTAGCCTCATGCCCCATTATCTGGCAGCATAGGAACTGGACTTGGGGTGTCATTTTCCCTCTAAGACAGAGCTTCTATTGCTCTCTTTCAAAGAAATGAGGCCCAGGTTTACCACCTGTCCCTACACCCCCCAAATTTAGGACCGTATCAGCTTAAGCAATTTGCCCGGTATCTGTTGGATTATCCACTTTATTAACTTTTCTCAGTCTGCTCTACTTGGAATGTCCTTCCCTTCACCCTTTCCCAATTTTTCTTCTTCGATTTGAGGCTTTTCAACTTATTTTTGCCTTGCCCATCCGATTTACTCTCATTCTTTGTATTTGATTCTTAAAAACTTAATTGTCCATCCCTTTTTCCCACCCCTCCCTCTGCGCTCTTCCAGTTACTTTATGATCTGTGTCCCTCTCCCACTGCTAGATTCCGAGTTCTCAGACAGACTTGGCTTCCACCTTTATTGTGGTGTTCTGGCATCTAGTATAGTTCCCCACGGCTGCCTGGTACATAGTGTTAGTTGAATGACAGTGTGGATCAAACGGCTTAGAAGGTAGGAGATACTTCTTAAATTATGATTATTTATTTTAATGATCCTTTTTTTTCCACAGGAGTTACGTAAAATTCAGAAACCATGGTGAGTTCACGACATTTCATTTAACTTTTGCCTGTTGAATGCCATGACTTGTTGGAAGCCAACAGACTGACTTGAGAGGTGAAGCACAAGCAGGAAGGGGAGAGGAATGCTGTCTGCTTCCTCCACTGAACTCAGCACCAGGATATGGTTGTAGGTTTGTGGGCGTCCAGAAGGTGGCTTATTTCAACCGTAGGCATCATCTCTATGTTTTTCCTTTGCAGTCTCGAAGATATGACTCCAGGACCACAATATTTTCTCCAGAAGGTAAATTAGAAAACTTAACATGCTCCAAAAAAGTTTATTTTTGTTTTGCTTTGTTTTTGGTGTTTCAGTTTTAGTGTGGGGGGGAGCCTCACGGATGTTTTGATGTCCGTTCTTTTTGTACTTTGAAGTAACTGTTCTCCCTAGGTTGATTGCAGCATACATCATTGAATGGTAAAAGTAGGGCAACTGACTATACCTTGCCAGTGTCTGCTGGTTTCTCTGGATTAGTGGTACAAGAACACAGAGGAACGTTGGTGTCTCGATGTCTTGTAGGTCGTTTGTACCAGGTGGAGTATGCCATGGAAGCTATTGGACATGCGGGCACCTGTTTGGGAATTTTAGCCAATGATGGAGTTCTGCTTGCAGCAGAAAGGCGCAACATCCACAAGCTTCTTGACGAAGTCTTTTTTTCTGAGAAAATTTATAAACTGAATGAGTAAGTGAGATCTTGGGGAAGAGTTTGAACTATTTCACTTTTCAACATAAGTGGGATTTTCATATAGGGGAAGGAGTCTTCTATGTGAGGTAGTAGAATTGAAGTGAAGAGTTTTATTTTTTTCATGTGAAAGTGTGTGTATTTTATTTTTCTTGAAACCTCCTTGAAGCCCATTTGTTGTATTGTGTCTCAGTATGTCCACTATGTGTGTAGTTTACTTTGAGTGCAAAGCTGAACACTTAGTGTAAAGTAGTATTGTGCAATAAAGGCATGGATTTACTGTTCACACAGATTTGATTTAAAATTCAAAGTCGGTC